GAAGATAAACTAGACACGATACTCGTTCAGGTTGACAGCGCCTAGCATGTTGAAAGTTGGCAGTACAGCGCCTAGCGTCGTACGAGTCAGAGCCTGGTGGGCAGCGTCGAAGATTTGGTTAGCCACGTTGTTAATAGTGTCATTGGGGCCACCGTCAGTGCAAAACTGCAAACTGTTGGTGTTTGCGTTGGCCCAAACACCGCGAGGGGGTGGTTGCGCTTTCGGCGGCATCGTACGAGTGTGGTCAGAAAGAAAAGAAGAAATCTGTGTAGTAGTGGAGTCAAATTGATTTAACACAAAGGAAGAAAAAGCTGAAGGAGAGAGACGGCAGCTCTACATATCGTACGGAGGGAGCGTTTGCTCTCGTGGAAATCCTCCTTCACTAGAGCAAACAAACGCCGCTGCTCCACCGCAAGTTAGGCAGCCGCGTGCTCCTAGGAAAACAAACAAACGCAAACATGTCCGTACGAGTGGAGGAGGGGAGTATTGTAAAGGGCTGCGCCCGTGATCTCTACTGAAGAGGATCACGTGATCTTCGACCACGTGATATACCTTCTGTACGGACACGTGATCAGAAGCGAGCAGGTATAAGAGAAGTCTGTACTTAGTTATCTTCTCTTTTTCTTATCTTTTAGCTTCTGTACGATAGGTAGAAGCATACTCATTCGCTAGGCCTCTCCGCCCATAACAGTATCTCTAGATACTAAGCTAGTAACGGACATAGAGCTTAAAGACGACGAGTACGAGGTCGAAGAAATTAAGGACCTACAGAAAATTAGTAGTTAGTAGAAGTACTTAGTTAAGTAGCAAGGATGGCCTAAAAACTACAATACTTAAGAACCTAAAGGAAACCTAACGAACTATAAGTCACTAGTACGTAAATACTACTAGAAGCACCTAGAGAAGTGAGGGGAAGCCCCTTAAAGAGGAAGGAATAATTAAAAGAAGGATTAAAAGAGTTAGCCTATAACCAGCCTAGATTAGCCGATAGTTTAAATAGCGGTAGTTTAATAACAGAAAGGCCCGTACTAGGAGCAGAGTTCCCCTTGGCCTACTCTTTCGCCTAGTCCTAAAGACTTAGGATAGTATAATCTTGATTAGCGAATTCTTACTCCCGCGCCTTAACCTCTAGAAGCTTACGATAAAGACGGGCGGTCTCTATCACGGCCTAAAGTTAGCGTTCCTTAGCACGAGCGATTTTAAGACGTTTTTACTGCTTTTTAGCTTCAACCTTCTCTCACTCTTCCTTAGACACGAAAAGACTACACTTAGCAGAAATAGAAATATAACCAGTATAGTGACTAGTTACTATATCTATAAAACACTAAAGATTCTTCTCTTTATAACGTTTATAACAGAAAGTCATTTCGCGATCTTATTCTCTTATACGGTTAGTATAGGCCCAACGTTAAGAAGTCGAATTCTAAGTACAGACGCGGTAGTTCAACTAGATCTTTAGTATGGTTAGGAAGGCTATAAGGTAGAGACGGCTACAATAAGTGGACGGGCTCTAACCTTATATGCAGCCGGCGTCTTAACACGCGGTACAGGAAAACGATATTCTAGAGTATTAAGATAATAGCTCTAAGAGGGGAGGTAATATTATAAGTAATAAGAAGGATTCTCTCCTTAATAAATAACGAGATAGCTGAAGGCCTAAGGACGTCCACGTTAGAAGGTAATAATTATCGCGGGGCGAAGATCACGTAACTAGCTTTACGCCAAGACTAAGTATCCCGCGCTAGTATATGAGGACACCCTCACACGTGACTAGATGTCTTTAGGGACTTTAGAAGATATAGGGATTATTTCGTGAAGACTATGAAGCCAGGACTAGAAGCAATAAGGATATAAGGATGGATAGATTTCATTATTACTCTCGTTGTGGTTAACTTAAATTGTACTTTCTTACTAGTTACTTAACTTTACAAGATTAATACTTGTTAGTCTATTCGATATAGATTAGGAATTGTTAAATCTATTGTTATCTATCTTATAAGCACGCCTACTCCACTGTATCGCCAGACAACTACCTCACGGCGCTATTCACATATCCTTACTCGCCCTAACCCGGATCGAGCTTAGAGAAGTATTAGCACTCAACCCCGTGTAATAGTTAAAAATCCTAAATTAGTCGTGGAATTTGTTTTATTAAGGAAACTTCTACCTAACTAGGCTTAGGTTCTAAGTAAGTACTAACTAGTGCATTTCTTCTTTCTATATTAAAAGCTGTTAGGTATTAAACTATTTTTTTAAATGAGCCTGCCTATAGATGTTTAAATTCTAGATTTAGGGCTCGTAGCGCTAGTATAATCTTCTTCTATAGATAGAAGAACTATTCTAATCTTAATACGGACTGTAAAGGGCTGCGCCCGTGATCTCTACTGAAGAGGATCACGTGATCTTCGACCACGTGATATACCTTCTGTATGGACACGTGATCAGAAGCGAGCAGGTATAAGAGAAGTCTGTACTTAGTTATCTTCTCTTTTTCTTATCTTTTAGCTTCTGTACGATAGGTAGAAGCATACTCATTCGCTAGGCCTCTCCGCCCATAACACGGACTCTTTTATAGCTGTACTAATAAAGTGCGCTTTGAATTTCGTAAAGGTCTCTTTTCTTCCTATTAATAGGCGGTGGAAAGCTGCTTGACTCTCCGCCTGTTTATTTCTAGATATAAAATATAATTTAAGTAATAAAATTATATCCTTAGTATAGAGGAACTGTTCCTTCTCTAATTCGGCGAGGTATTATAGTTCTAGGTATTTTTTAGCGGTGCTTGTAACGGCGCAGGCAAGACTACTCGGATCAGTATCGGCAGTAGCGTCACTCAGAGGCATATGGGAGTGCGTGGGACATCAAACGAGCCTTGATTCGAATAGACACCTATAGGCCTTGTACGAAAGGATATCAAAAATCTATCGAGCTACGGTATGGAGAAGGTGGGGTTTTATATCAGCAGATCTGCCCTTGGCTAGTGCGTGCCCATGTTCGGATCTCTTTCGGATGTTAGTTCAGTGTGTACTCGAACCGTTACAGTGCTAGTTATATAACTCTATACTAATACTATTCTTGCGCGTTCGCTCTAATAGTGATCTAAGTTAATACTAAGCTAATCTTATATTAAGGCTTGCTATTACTTAAACGTAGGATTTACTCTATTACTAAGGTTATCTATAGGTAGAGTACGTTTGCTGAGCTTAGCGTATAGAGAGTTTAGGGTAACTAATAAGAACCTTACTAATTAGTAGGAAGGCTGTTTAGTTAGAGTCGGAGGGGGTTTAGTTGTAGGTACTAGTTTATCCTGAGTTAGAGTATTTTCCCGCATTAATCGTTCGACTTAGGTATTTAGTCTATTAATTTCTGCCTAGAGTATACTAGTATAATTCTCTTCTAATTCTTCTTCTTCTTCTAGCTTAGCAGCGGGCTATTTGCTAGCTGTTCTTTCTTATTAGAGTTTCTGCGTTTATTGGCGAGTTGTTCTTCTTACTAATTCCGTAGAACTAGTGGTGATTTGGTTAACTATAGTGATTAATTCCTTAGTTGATGGGTTCTTAGTAGTTTCCTTGTCTCTATTTTGGCGCACTCTTCGCGACTTTTCTGAAGTTAATCCGACTTGTAAGAGGATGGAAATTCTAAACCTAAAGGCTTCGGTTGACAGAAGATTAAGGGGATCCTGTCTAGGTGAATGTTAGATGTAACGGTGTAAGAATCCGAATAGGCTCTGGATACACTTGGAATTGGACGTAGTCTGAACAGACAGCTGCGATATTATTTTGAAGCCGTCACCGGCGGTGGTGAGATTTTTAATATAATGTAACGGCGCAGGCAAGACTACTCGGATTAGTATCGGCGGTAGTGTCACTCAGAGGCATATGGGAGTGCGTGGGACATTAAACGAGCCTTGATTCGAATAGACACCTATAGGCCTTGTACGAAAGGATATCAAAAATCTATCGAGCTACGGTATAGAGAAGGTGGGGTTTTATATTAGCAGATCTGCCCTCGGCTAGTGCGCGCCTATGTTCGGATCCCTTTCGGATATCAGTTCAATGTGTACTCGAACCGTTACAGTACCTACCGAACCAACATCCGAAAGGGATCCGAACATGGGCACGAACTAGCCTAGGGCAGATCTGCTGATATAAAACCCCACCCGTTCTCCATAGTAGCTCGATAGGTTTTTGATATCCTTTCGTACAAGGCCTATAGGTGTCTATTCGAATCAAGGCTCGTTTGACGTCCCACGCACTCCCATATGCCTCTGAGTGACACTACTGCCGATACTGATCCGAGTAGTCTTGCCTGCGCCGTTACACTCATCTTCGTTTCTACATACAATCTAGATCTAGCTCTAGGTCGCGTGGTCGACGGTAATCGCCCGGCATCGCTAGTTTCCTTAGTTCTCCATTGTGTGCATCTCTTTTTCCACGGCTACTCTAACTAATCCTGCTAATAATCTGCCATTTTCGCCATCTACCCTAGAAATGTCTATAGTGACGCTAGGCACGTCGATAGAAGCGAGATCAGTTCTATCAGTATGCTACTAGCTTGCTAGCGGCGTAGCTGTGGCATTTAGTCCTGCAGGTGCGCTTATGGACGCTACCTCAGCCCAGGTACGCGTACCAGAGTTTGTTGCCACGAGGTCATCAACACGTGTCTTTAGCTCCACGATCTCGTCAATAAGTTTCACATTATAGTTAATAATCACTTACTAGTTCTTTCTGATCTCTCTTATTTCGCGTTTAAGGCTCTAGATCGTTTCATTCTGCTGCTGGATGATTTTAGTTAACGCGGTAAGTAGATCTTTGTTGGTGGCGGTGCTCTTCCTAGCTTGACGGATAGGTTGGCTGCTTTCGATCTAGATAGTGTCGGAGTCGTTGGCTGATAGGTCTAGCTGTAGGGGTCGCTTGCGATAGTATTCGTTTTACTTAGTGGTGCTAGTAGCTCAGCTAGCAAGAATGTCGCTTCGCGGTCGCGTTTAGGGGTCGAGATTGCCATCTCTCGCGCGTCCAGATCGCAAACTCATTCACACAATCAAGACCGCATACAGTCGTCCTCTATTTGTGTACCCCTACGGTATCCCTACGGTATACAATCGTTAGCCCCTTATTCACACACTTGCTCCACGGATACGAGCCCATGCAGCTCCAGCCTAGTAAGTAGAGTAGCTTGGACGACCGTGACCCCGGATCGCTGCCAGAATCTGGAGCGTGAGCCGAAGCGGGCGGCTGCCATGGCCCTCTTGGGAGATACACTCGGACAAATCCTATTGGTTCAACCCATGGTTCAAACACGGCGCGCTGCGAAATGCCTCCTTCACTCCCCATACGTTCATCAGCGCATGCCTCTCCTTCATGCTGACCCTTGGTCAGCGTTGCATTGCCATTGCCAGGGACTCTCCTTGAAGCATGTCGTTAGGCGGCCGGCTCATCATCGGCTCCCAGCAGCGCCACCTCTGGCCCACTTCTAGAAACCCTCTCATTACCCAGGCAGTGGAGCGCGGAGCGTGGATGCATTAGGGCCTGCTTTCCACATGCTCGGTGTTTTTCCAAGACCCTCTGGGGAGCCCTATCCGAACCCGTCCCGCCAGCAATTGGATCCCAAGCTCGGCACAGTTTTGCCATCCAACATTCGTGTGGGTAGCCTGACAAGACTTGTCTCCAAACTGTCTAGTCGCCTTGGACCATGCGCCCACTGACGTTCCTCTGCAGGCCTTCAAAGCCTGCGCTGATCCGCCGTCTGGCACATGCCACAGAGATTTGTTTTGCGACAACTTCCCAGGCCCATTCCGACTCCAGGCTCCCTCTTCACAGACGATAGCGACACGCCCACAATGTCTGACTACCGCTACGGCACCCAGTCGGATGCCTATGCCGCTGACCACGGCCATGCCCTGCGCCCCAATGGCATCGAGAAGGACTCTAAGTTGGGCAACACCTACTCAGGGTCTGGAGACGATGTTGCTGGCCCCAGCGATCCAGATGGTCTCCTCGCTGCCATGGGCTACAAGGCCGAACTGGTGCGATCAAGATCAACTGCCCAAGTTGCCTTCATGTCCTTCGTTCTGGCTTCCGTCCCTTACGGTTTGGCAACCACCTTTTACTATCCCGTAGTTGGTGGCGGTCCTACCAACATCATCTGGGGCTGGCTCGCCGTATCCCTCATCATCCTCGCCGTTGCCGCTTCCCTCGGCGAGATTACCAGTGTTTACCCCACTAGTGGCGGTGTCTACTACCAAACCTTCATGATTACGCCTCCCGCTTACCGCAAAATCGCCTCGTGGATATGTGGTTGGTGTTTCGTAGTCGGCAACATTACCATTACTCTTTCAGTCAACTTTGCTACAGCCCTCTTCGTCGTGGCATGCGCCAATGTCTACGAATCCTCTCCAGGTGTTGGTGTACTGGCAGGCGAGCCCTATCAAGTTTTCCTCATCTTCCTTGCCATCACCCTCCTCTGCAACTGCGTGTCTGCCTTTGGCAACAAGTACTTGCCCTGGCTCGATGTGAGATTGCCCCTTTCACTGCCTTGCTGTGTGCATTACTTACACCCGAACAGACCTTTGCCATTTTCTGGACCTTTGCTGGTGTGATTGCCATTGTCATATGCGTCCTTGCCATTGCGAAGAATGGTCGCCGAAGCGCCGAATACGTCTTTACTGAATTCGATCCCTCTAACTCTGGATGGGTCCCCGGGTGGTCTTTCATGGTCGGACTCCTCCACGCTGCCTACGCAACCTCCTCCACTGGAATGATCGTCTCGTGAGCCTCCCCTTGCCTGCCCAAGCAACTTGAAACAGCTTGTTCCTGCCCAATGCACACTCCCAAGCGACATTTCCCATGCGACACTTCCTATGCGACACCCCCTTAACAGCCCATATACCGTTGCGACATTCGCTTTGTCCATATGCAGTAATTCCCACCCAAACTAAGTCAAATGCTAACAGTTGAGATAGGATGTGTGAAGAAGTCAGAGAGCCAGCCACCCAGGTCCCCAAGGCCATGGTCGCTACCGTTGCATTGAACACTATCTGCGGCCTTGTCTTCCTCATCCCTCTCGTATTCGTCCTCCCCAACCAGGCCGACCTCGCAGCTCTGGTTTCTGGACAGCCCGTACCCGTCATTATCAAGAGCGCAGTAGGATCTTCTGGTGGAACTATTGGACTGCTCGTTCCCCTCCTTGTCCTAGGACTGATTTGCGGTATCGGATGCACGACTGCTGCATCCCGTGCTACCTGGGCCTTCTCTCGTGATGGCGCTATCCCAGGCTACAAGCTGTGGAGGACTGTCAACACCAAGCTTGATGTCCCGCTCAACGCTATGATGCTCAGCATGGGAATCCAGATCATCCTTGGTGTTATCTATTTCGGTGCCGCCGCCGCTTTCAATGCCTTCTCTGGTGTTGGTGTCATTTGCTTGACATTGAGCTATGCAGCCCCTATCCTGGTCTCCCTCCTTACCGGCCGCAAGCAAGTCAAGACTGGAGAATTCCACCTCGGAGTGCTCGGTACCTTCTGCAACGTTGTCGCTCTTGGTATGTTCTACTGTATATGCCCACAATCAAGTGGAAACTAACAATCTCTACAGCCTGGTCCGCCCTTGCCACTCCTCTCTTCTGCATGCCCACTTTCCGCGAAGTCACCCCCGCAACCATGAACTACGCTTCCGTTGTGCTTGCCGCCGTCGTTGTCATCTCAACCATCTGGTATTTCGTCTGGGGCAAGAAGAACTACGAGGGACCCCCAACGCACGAGGACGCTATTCTTGAGGCTAGGAGAGCCAGCATGGCAAGTCGCTAAGAGAGATGCTCTAATGTGTACGATGATAGCATCACGCCAAAGAAGAGTGAAAGAGGACGAAACTGCATGAGTTGTTGTCCTCTAGTCTTGTCTTTGCAATGAGATACTGAGCGCATTCTTTGTATAAGACGCTATTGTTGTTTTTTCTCAGTAATGCAGTCTTGATACCCCCTCGATTTCCTGTACATACTACACAGCCTCCTTTCCTCACCACTAAGCACTAGCGACAATGCAGTACGTAGGATTCTGATTTAGTAGTATTGTGAAAGAAGTTTCCCCCATATTGCCGAGAGTAGCACCGCAACTGCAACATTCCCAGCCCCAACAAATCCGATCCACACAGCGAGTCAGTTAGCAAGAAAAAGCGCGCACGGTCGCACACAGAACACGGACCATCACATGGGTTGCTTCCCTTTGATTCCTGTTTGAAAAGATAAGAGAGAGGCATTTGTTAACCAATTAGCAAACCCAATTCATACTTCCCTTTTTTTCTATTTGGAAAAAAAGGACGCAGGAGAGAAAAAAATCTTTCCGACTATGAAACCTTGTCAGGATCGATGTCAAATTGTTCACGACAAGCGAGGCTCAGCCTCAAACGTAGACGTTTCCAAGCGGCCTGCACTTGTTTTCCATTGCATATGCACCAGAGACTGCATACGTACTTAGCCGCGTGAGCGCGAGCGCGCTCTGCGGTTAATTGGCTTCATTGTGCACAGACGGCTGGGCGATGTGCGGGCGCGAAGGGTACCCGAGGAGAGCTGAGGGAAAGAGAGGCGAAAATAAGCCGCCTAGGTAGTCGATTGCACTAAACCTTCCATACGTACTACATATATTTGTGTGCATCTACAATATCTCCGAAGGTGTGATCCTATGTACGTAGACGGCCTCTGTACATTGGTGTTCGTTGGATATAGTATGTCACGAACGCGTTTCCTGGCTTCGAGTTTCTCCTCCTTTCGGTCGTTCGTCGGGCGTACTCGTGGGTGGCATAGTCTAGGGCCGGATAGAGCGGAATATAGGCCCAGGAGAGGCGTACTGTTAGTAAAAGATAGGGAGTGTGTGGAGACAGGAACAGAAGGATATGATGTCAGAGGCGGAAGGTGCACTGCTATGCTACGTAACTGGTGGTTCGGTAGTACCAGGTGCAAGTAAAGGTAAGATTGATACTACTAGGGATTTTCTACTGAAGCGAAAACTTCCTCACATACACATGTAGGTATCGAGGCTGTGCCACATCATCCTCTGATACTCCTTTTACGCTACTATTTTGCCAGTCCTATCTGTCAGTCTTTTTCAAGTGGACAACAGAACCTCTCGACTCCATCGTGATATTCGGATTTGGTAGCTACTCTATCATTTTCCTCAAGTTGGTCTCCGCCAGAGACCTTTCGTCAGTGGGCTTAAGCGGAGAATTAGAACGGCCCAAGATATGTGTGCATATCGCATTACTAACAGTAGTCGCAGAGCTAGACTGTGAAATCAGGATCTTCATTGACATTGGCATTGCATTTTGTCGTCGTGTAGTCGGATCCTCGATGAAAGGTTCCTCGTTAGGAACACTGGTGGAAACAGATGTATTGGTGTTGTTATTCGAGGTCGTATCAGAAGAAAGAAGGTGAGCTGTTTCTTTGGCAAAGCCGATAGCGTCACTACGAGGCAGCTTGAGTTGGCTGTCTGCACTGAATGGCTTGAGAAAGAAACGAGAAAAAGGTTGCGAAATCTGCTTCCAAGAAGTAGAGAAATCTGCCGACCTGTGTCTCGGTATGGTTGGGTCAGTTTTGAAGAAACTGGTTTTTGTCTCCCATGATGATCCGTCCACTTCGCTGTTGTCGTCATCCACGATGCCATCAAATATTTCAGTCATCAGCTTCTTCTTAGGAGGAGCTTCATTCTTTCTCTTCTCTTTCTTCGCCACGTGCTGAAGACTAAAGACTTCCCCAAGCATGCTCTTAAAGTCACCCTCGTGCCTCTTCTCCTGTCGGTCATCAGAATGGCGCTCGGTAGGAATAGGCGAAAGAGTGCTTTCAATCGGACTATGCAGATGATCTCGAGACTGGAGTTTGGGCGACTCAGTATTGTGAGCTTTAGGCGAGCCTGCTGGGGTGATGTTCATTTGAGCAATGATGGGCCGTTGATGGATTATCAGCGGCTCTTCGGACGGCTCAGGGATGGTCAGATCAGCATCAAAATCGATCCATGGCGCCACCTCTCTGACATTGATTTTAGGTAGAGTGCTGGCAGCAGTATGAGTTGTTTGTGTCGTATGTGCGCTGCTTGCATTGGAACCTGCCGGGCTTGAACGTCCATCTGGACCGTTAGATGATAGATCAGCTTTTTTGTGAGTGTTTCCTCGGTTGGATCGAGAAGGAATAGCCAATGTGCCATTCTTATCCACTGATGTGAAGTCCAACGGGTCTGCAACGGGAGCAGTCTTGGGCGAGAGTGCTTCATCATCTCCTATAACACGAATGTGTGCTTCTTCGTCGAAATGGAGACGCCTGACCATATCTTTTCGCAGTGCGCTTGGGGGAAGGTCGAATGCCAGTGGCTTCGGTACCGCATGTGGAGAAGTTGGAGGCATGATGGGGTGCACAGCCTTGGATTTGGGATGAAGATCTTGATTGTCATGTGCTGATTTTGCTTCATTTTCCTTGCCGTCCCGGCTCAGCTTGCGAAGGCGCTTGTATTCTGCATAATCGTCGATTTCAGTCGCAGTAGGCCGGTTAATAACAACATCCATGGGCGTCTGGTCAGCACGCTCGAATCTGACGTCAAAGAGAATGTCCCCCTCTTTCCATTGCCCACCAGATGTATCTGCACTTTTTGCTTGCTTGATAGACCAACCTTTGACGCTGTACACACCTTCATACCTCACTCCAGCCTTTGGGCCCCATATGCTATTGATACTGTGACTGCGAAGTACCCGCACAGGATCTCTGCTTCTCGGAGTGGCGGAGGTAAGTCGAAACTTACCCTTATCCTCCTGCGGAACTCGGTAGGTGAAGCGCGATTCGCAACTGGCTTCGAGTTCACCGGTATCTTTTAGCAACAAGGCATATGCCCCGTATTTATCGTAAGTTGTGCCACCATCACATGACTCGAGGCCAATAATGCCGGCATGATGTGCAAACAGAGGGTTGATCCACCAGCTGCAGAGGTTGTCAACACGAATCTGGCCAAGGTGATATGCTCAATTTACCTTCCAGCGACAAAGCCTAGGTCGCCTAGTCTATGAGATCGCTTGGGGTGGATATTTTGGGGACATGTCTTGGCCCACCGCTTGAGTAACGCCTGTTCGCTGAGATTAGTCCAGGCACGAAGCAGTAGTGATAGTTGCTTACATCGCGAGATTGCTCGTGCACGCTGGCAATTCCCTCAAGTCGACCCCCTCTGCCATACAAGAATGGGTGAATTGCATTCAAAGAACCAAACTTGGCAGTCCAGATGTCTATGATGGTATCGCAGTCGTCGCACAACCGACCAGGCCATCGGGTCGCCACTCCAGCGATGTCCTTCACCGCTTTATGGATGCCGCTCGCTCTCAAGTCGGACAAGGTGATGTTTTTAGCGTTTCGAAGAGCAAGAAAGGTCTCGTGGAGGGTTACAACATCGTCGGATTGAAGCACATCAGGGCCGTCCCGAGCCACACATAAGTCCAACTCGTCGCGAATCCATTTCGTGACTTCTTTGAGCCTAGATCGAGAGAGATCAGGGTTGATAGGAGATGCTGAGGTGTGGTGAGAAGACACAGTGAGTGGAACCGACACGTTTGATTCGCGATCGGGTGCCATGCCGTAAACACCAACGTGATTAGGAGCAAGATCAAAGGATACGTGGAGCGGATAATGCAAAGCTGAGGTTGACTCAATTGACAAGAGTAGTAGTTGTTGCAGGAGGTTCTCGTGCTAGGGCCAAGGCTCCTGCCCATCTGAAGGACATGGTATTGCGCTCTCCACCCATGGTGCACACTGGTTGGCTGTTTCCTTCTCCCTATCCACATCACTTCTTGCTGTGTTTTCGCTTTTTCTTCTTACGGCTTCCAGGCTCTTCAACCGCCGGCCCTACTGCTTCTTCCACTTCACCATGATCACTGAAGCCACCCCATTCCTCATCCTCAGAAACCGCAACTTCAGTTACTTGTGCCGGCTGCTGATCGCCTTCACGAATAAAGGCAGCCACAAAAAAACCCATTGTACCTTCTTCAGTACCCTTGTCACAACGAATACATGCTTCCAATACATCTTTCTTAAATGACTCGTTCATGTCACCGTGAATCTTATCCTCTTCCCAGATGCCCCTTCTGTGCCATTTTTGCAATCCCTCCACTTGCTGATCCCGTTTGAGTATCCTCCACCCCCGATTCTTTGCGACCGAGGATGCCAACGCCTGAAAAACGACGCCTTCGTTCTCCTCGAAATGTATCGAGCATGTAGAGTAGGTAATTTTGTGCGCACTCTCGAACCGCATAGCGTGAGTGAGAATATGGAGTTGAAAGCTAGACAAGGCGGCCAGTCGTTCTGTCAGTTTGCCCTGTATTGGTGTCTCTTCAGGTGCTGAATCATCCATGTCCAGATTCAGCGTCGGTTGCGCATCGGCCTTCGTTGCCTCATCACCTCTCTTTCGCTTTTTCCCCTTTCCTGGCTTATGTGGTGTTGTTTGGGAGCCAGGTGCATCAGGAAGATGCATCTTGATCGCATCATCGCGTCCAACAATACCAGTACCTGAGCAGCTCGGATCAAGAAGTATGGCTCCAACGTTGGCGTACTCGTCCAACTCAGGTTTAGCGGCTATGAAGTCGCTGTTACCCTTTACTTGGACAATGCTATCTGCCGACGCCAACTTGACCATCTTCTGCAATGTAAAAGTTCTGCCTTTGTCGCGCTCGAAAGCAATGACATTTTGTTCCTCTCCTGGCTGCTTTCTATCGGAAACAATGGCGGCAAGATGTGTGGTTTTGTTTCCTGGCGCCGCGGTCGCATCGATGACATCACCATCGTCTGGGGTCGGATCCAACAAGTACGCAGGGAAGCAAGATGCTTTATCCTGGAATATTATCTGGCCCTTTGTGTAAGCAATGGACCTGCTGAGATCAACCTTAGAGGGCAGCGCGAGCAAATTAGGAATGTTTGGGTCTTCGTAGTAGACTTTGGAGCTCTTTGGCGCAGTGAGGACGTTATCTAGGACTTCTGTCTTGGTATATCCAGTAAAAGTCGTTGCAAGCTGTTCCTGTAATGTCGTCTTAATAGTATTGACGCGCACCCAGCGGGGATGTCTGCTCTTCGAAGCATTGCCGTCTTCTTTATCCAGTCCACCATCATTCACAGCCTCTTTAAACGCTTCAAGGGTAGCAAATCCATGGCGTATACGGGCTTTCGTGAGCTCGGCGCTCAAGCGGGCTTTGTGTCGGGTAATCGCGAGTTTAAGTACGTGGTTGGCGGGTGCTGCAATGCCATTCTTCGCAAGGAGTAAATCATGTGAAAGCAGAAGGGCGAGAATTGGAGTGAGCTGAGAGGTGTAAGCTATTTTTCCTGGAATAAAATATTTGCTATATGGACCTTCTTCTCTTCTGCGAGTAACTTGCACTTCTCAATCACATCCTTCAATACAAGTGACCATTTCGATGTTTCTGCAATCAGCGCAAAGAGCTGGCCGGGCGTGCTCTTCAAATCTTTCTTGTTGTATATGCGCGACTTGAGCGACCCACCGACATTGTCGGAATTGGCGAGAATGGCCGCAGCTTCGTAGTAGAGTGACATGGAGGCTTTGTCGCGTAAAACCAAAAAAACCCGCCCAGGAACTTTTTGGCGTTGAGACCGAGCTCCGACCTTTTTCCCCGCACACCTCCGTGATCCACCCGCTTTTATTAAGTGTCTTGGCCGTTTCTCCAATTCTCCACGCACAATACCATCCTGCATTGGATCAGCAGGGCGTGTTCATCGCGATGAAATGTTTCCTGCGAACGCGATCACCTTCTAACAGATCGTCGCCCCGTTTCCATTTCCCACACCTAAGTCTCACTTCTCGCCAAGCACGTCTGCGATTAAATTTGAGGCAACAACCGTAACGTCCGTCCCTGAGGGTCGAACATCCCTCCGCAACGAACCACCAACATTGTTCAAGCACCTTACGTCTAAGCCGCAGAGGTTCTTAGGTTTAAGTGCACATTTGTATACTCTTTAGATCTGCTTCTATCTATCACAGGCATTAAATAGCAAAATTACAGTAATCTAAGGGGCGTACATAAATCTTTCGTGTTAAGCGTTGAAGCTGCAACAACAACATACCCCTGTTGTATCATTCATAAAAGCACTGCTCGCTTATTCAGATGTTCTATACAGTTCATAGCAAGCTAAAGAACTAACAACTATTCTTTGAAGACATGCAGACTCTATTTAGGTGCTGTCCGAGTTTTTTCCGGCTCGGTGTGCCAGTCCTTCGCGTTTAACGAGATAACTTCACGTGCTGAAATAGCAAGTTTCGAACAATTAGCGTCCTACAATATACATCTGCGCTATGCCAAAACGGCTCAAGTTGTGGCGCAAGGCTTGAGAGGCAACGTCCAGCTACTGCTTAAGCGCGTAGTGGCTATACTCGGAAGTTAACTAATTAGGTATAGACTTCTCAAGGTTTCTATTATGTGTATAGCGAGGATTTTATAGCCTTAACAGTTTTGACAAATATAGAGACACATAGGTTAAGAGAGGCCCTCTATTGATCTATAGTTACTTGCCTAAGTTACCTGACAAAGCCAGACCCTTCCTGATCCTACTCCTATGCCTACTTGGGTCTTGCTCACAGCCGAGCTTGACGGTCGATACTCAGAGGGTATCCACAACACGTTGCTACCAGCGCATATAATCCAATTGCCATCTGAACTTATACTGGCACCCTGATACTGAAGTTTTGATGCTGCAGCCTCGATGCGGTCTATGATCTGGCAGTTAGAGATAATGATAGTGCCTATTTCTGTATGAAGTGAAGTATCCGAAGAATCGAAAGACAAGTATGAAAGGATTGTGCCAACGTCAAGGCTATGTAGACACGCCCCGCTGCTCGCGTCCCAGATCTTGACAGTCCTGTCGTAAGACGCTGACGCTAGCCGGGCCGAGTCGTGCGAGAAGGTCACCGAGGTAGCAGCACCGCGATGGCCCTCAAGCGTCTGCAGACACGTCCCGCTGCTCGCGTCCCAGATCTTGACAGTCCTGTCGTAAGACGCTGACGCTAGCCGGGCCGAGTCGTGCGAGAAGGTCACCGAGGTAGCAGCACCGCGATGGCCCTCAAGCGTCTGTAGACACGTCCCGCTGCTCGTGTCCCATATCTTGATAGTGCTGTCGTGAGACGCTGACGCTAGCCGGGTCGAGTCGTGCGAGAAGGCTACTGAATAAACAATAGTACGATATTCCTTAAGCGTCTGCAGACACGTCCCGCTATTCGCATCCCATATCTTGACAGTTCTATCGTATGACGCTGATGCTAGCCGGGTCGAGTCGTGCGAGAAGTCTACTGAGCCAACAATACTATCGTGGCCCTTAAGCGTCTGCAGACACGTCCCACTGCTCGTGTCCCAGATCTTAACAGTTCTGTCGTCTGACGCTGACGCTAGCTGGGTCGAGTCATGCGAGAAGGCCACTGAGTTAACAGCACCCTTATGGCCCCCGAGTGTCTGCAGACACGTCCCGCTGCTCGTGTCCCAGATCTTGGCAGTGCTGTCGTGAGACGCTGACGCTAGCCAGATCGAATCGTGCGAGAAGGCCACTGAGTTAACATCCCTGCTATGACCCTCAAGCGTCTGTAGACACGTCCCAATGTTCGCGTCCCATATCTTGATAGTGCTATCGTGAGACGCTGACGCTAGCCGGGTCGAGTCGTGCGAGAAGGTCACCGAGCTAACATGACTGCTATGGCCTTCAAGCGTTTGCAAATATGTCCCACTGTTCGCGTCCCATATCTTGATAGTGTTGTCATAGACCGCTAACGCTAGCCGGGTCGAGTCGTGCGAGAAGGTCACCGAGGTAGCACCATTATGGCCCTCAAGCGTTTGCAGACACGTCCCGCTGCTCGCGTCCCAGATCTTGACAGTTCTGTCGTGTGACACTGATGCTAGCCGTGTCGAGTCGTGCGAGAAGGCCACCGAAGTAACATCACTACTATGGCCCTCGAGCGTGTGCAGACACGTCCCGCTGCTCGCGTCCCAGATCTTGACAGTCCAGTCGGCTGACGCTGACACTAGCTGGGTCGAGTCGTGCGAGAAGGCCAGCGAGGTAACATAACTGCTATGGCCCTCGAGCGTGTGCAGACACGTCCCAATGTTCGCGTCCCATATCTTGATAGTGTTGTCATCTGACGCTGACGCTAGCCGTGTCGAGTCGTGCGAGAAGACCACCGAACGAACAGTACTACTATGGCCCTCAAGCGTTTGCAGACACGTCCCGCTACTCACATCCCAGATCTTGACAGTCGTATCGCCTGACGCTGACGCTAGCTGGGTCGAGTCATGCGAGAAGGCCACTGAGTTAACAGCACCCCTATGGCCCCCGAGTGTCTGCAGGCACGCACTCCAGCCATTGCTCATAGCTGGCTTGAGAGCTACTCTCCTTGGCTCTTCGTACTGGAACAGCCTTCTTATTATACTGTCTGCTGGACTGAACAATAGAGCCGATGCGTACGCTTGTAAAGGATAGTTCTCAATTGCCTCCTTATGATACATAATCAATCGTCGTGCATCGTACACAATCTTGTTCAATGCATCCATATCTCCGAGTCCCTGGCGACGTTAGTAACTATGTTATAAAGACTATGTATGTAGCTACATGGGTTGTACCTGGACTAAATGCCACAGTTTTGTCATCGAGACCACTCCTCTGGCCATGCTTCCGCATAAGCTGAGCGCTTCTAGCCAGTAGAGATATTTCTGCCTAAGAAATGCGTCTACAGCCTTAACCTCTTCTTGAGTAGTAGCACTATGTGCTAGTGTTTTATGTTTAGAGTCACAGAAATGGTCGATCCAGTACACACATGGGTAGCGCGATCCGGCTAGAGATCTAGGAAGAGGCTGCTTAACGTCTCTAATAGGGTATCCAGGCGCTTGAAGGTCACACATATCTCTGCGCAGTGTTTCATGCAGAATAGTAAGTGACTTCGTAAAGATGTCTTGATGCACATATTCTATACCGTCTGAAAAGGCCTTATTTAATGCTTTCTTCACAAGAAAGTCCTTAGCTGACTGATGCACAAAGTAGACTGTGTCGTCGCGCAGCTTGAGGAATGATCCGCAGAGACTGATGATCTCCCGCACAGACTCTAGGTCATTGACAAAGTCTGTAAGCTGTTCAGTAAGCACAACTAGCTCAGCGACTGTGACGGGTCGATATAGGACAACAGTCACTGCCAGCACCCGCAGACATATGTCGGCGCTATCAGACTCGCTTATCTGCTGCAGCATCCGCTTATACAGAGAGTCGAACCCAGGCGGAAACTGAGCTAGCTTCTTAAGCACGTTCCACTTAGGCGTCGCTTTAAGGTCTTGGCATACTAATGCAACCCAGAGGAAGGTGTCGTTCGCGTTCGAAGTTAAGTGCTGGAACACTGCGTCTTGCACCTCTGGCGTGTAGCGATTCTTGTGAGCTATGCGACACACCTTCTCCTGGATAAACACCTCTACTGCTGCAGCCACCGACTCGGCGTTCAGCTCAAGGCTAAGCCTTATTTTGTGCTTAGCATGCTCTAGCTCTTTCTTAATAGCCGGCCAGTTGCGACTAGACACGATCCACTTAACGCGAGAGGACGCAGACGACTGCTTCGCGATGAAGGTAAGCAACCTTGGTAAGTCTGTCACGCATTCGTCAAGCGCGTCAAGAATTAGGTATGTTGTGCCTAGGCTTACATCTTGCAGCACGTCGGCGAAGATTTCCGTTAGGGCGACCCAGGCATTCGCGTCCTCGAATAAGCTTTTGCCTGCGTGGTCGTGCTTCCTGCGAACGTGCGATGCAAGCGACGGCTGCTGGCGTATAAGCATGTATAACAAGCCTCGCAGCACAGCTGTAGCATTGTTGATACGCGAGTCTGTCGCTTGGCAGAAGAAGTATGACAGAAGGGCAGTCTGAGGTAAGGAGTTTTGCAGTTCATCGATGATACCACACAATAGCATCGTCTTGCCTTTGCCAGGATCGCCTTTCACCCAGAGCAGTCGGCTTTGTTGGTCCTCATACCACTGCCTGAAAGTGGCGTTGTCGAGGACCCAGCGGTAGGAGTCTGCTAGCAGTCCACCTTTTGTCTCCTCGATGCGCTTCTTGTCATCAAGCGGGTCTGTTTGGCGTATGTCTTGGATGCATTGTTCCAGCTTGTACATCTCGCGCTTCAAACGGTCGAAAGCGCCGGCCTCACCCTCACCATATACTGGCGCTAGCTCAACATCGAGGATACCTTGCAGGCAGAATGCTCTATCCTCGACGCGCTCAGTCGTTCGGCCTTCTGCCCACCTCAACCGCTCTTCGACGCTTAATCGAGAAAGTGGGGTTCCCTTGAGCACTTCGGACGGAATGCTGGTTATCTCGCGGATTGTCGTCTGCAGCGACGTCTTACTGCCAAGGCTCTCTCCTTCTTGCGAGAAGAACTCGACTTTGGTTGGAGCAAGAAGCTCTTGAAGCGTCCAACCACGCGTGAACCACCGACTCGACCTAAAAGCAGGCTCCCAGCTAATCTCAGCAGCTCTGTCGCCGGCTTTCCTCTTCCTCTTCCAAACGTCTGACAGATAGGCATAACATCTAGCTGCGTTGCGGTACCAGCGAAACATCGACCGGATGGAGAAGGCGAGTTCAGCCTTGTTGGCCTTGTCGATGCAGCACGTGTCGATCCAGAAGTACTGGAGGTTGTCGCGCCGTGCCCGTTTTCCGCAGAAGAGGATCTTCTTATAGCCCGGCTTTGTCTTGCCACCGCCTGTCTGGAGGTCTGCAAAGGTCACCTCGTGGCTATTGGCTCCCCAGGTGTGTGAAAGTATCGCGTAGGGGGGTATGTCGCCATCATCGAAGCTGTGGATGCTGAGCTGTCCGCTCTCGCTGTAGTGCAAGAGCCGCATGGGTTTGTGTAGGTATGTAGTAGACGCATGCGATGAGAACAAGACTTAAAAAGCTCAATGTAGCAGCCTAGTCGCGCGGGCGCTTGCTACTTGCTAGCTGCTTCCCTGCTACCGATGGATGGTCAGCATACAGAGAAAATAACGAGCAGGTGCACCAGCTTAGATACCAGCAAGGCCCTGTGATCCGTCAAAATATCGCGAGCTGAAGCTGCCGGCTTTCACTGTATTCTTGGCTTGGTGGTGAAGCCTGTGTGAAGCCCCAAGTGGGGTCAGGCGTGGCTCGATACATGCGCCGCGCACTGCTCACGAGGCTGAACTGTTGGCAGGGGTCTAAGCACTGACGCGCTTTAAGCTTGCCGTTACAACTCAGGACAGATAAGAAAGCAGCCGCGCAATTGCAACACTTGTTAACAAGGTTTGGATTCGATCTGAGTTTCCCGCCGACAGAACGCCGCGAGACCAACGGAATCTATAACCAGTCTGCTTCTAAGAATAGCTGGCAACTGCGCGCTTGAGTAGCATTTGGTAGAAGCTTCCAGAACTCTGCGCCACAGCTTCGGCTCTTTTGGCATAGTACAGGTGTACATCGTGGGCCGCTAAGCGTTCGCAATCCTGCTATGTTAGCGTTCCAAATCCTCTCGCTAAATGCGAAGGACTGGCGGACCAAGTCGGAAAAACTCGTGGTGTACCTATACAGAGGCTACATATCTTCTTATTATATTCATAGCTTTTCCAGCTCACCAGGATTCACATAGGACCTCCGAAAGAGCAAGTTGTGCTTCTGTAGAGGGTAGAACAGGGGTGTGTCGTCGTTGCAGCTTCCACGCTTAACACGAAAGATTCACGTACGCACCTTAGATTTCCGTAATTTTGCTATTTAAGGCTTGCGATAGATAGAGATAGATCTAAAGAGTATATTGATATGTATTTGGATCTAAGAGTCTCTGCAACTTGGGCGTGAGGTACTTGAACAATGTTCGTGGTTCGTTGCGGAGGGATGTTCGACCCACAGGGACGGACGTTACTCGCCCAATTATCACTCACGCATCACACACGAAAAAGGAATTAGAAATCGTGATGAAAAATGTTGTTTGATTTTTATCTACTTTGGTTCAAACATAAAAGAAAAAAATATACATAGGAGCCAGTCCTAAACTCCTATATTCCTTCATCAGGTCCCTTTCGTCCACTGTTCCATGCCCTGGGGTATATATATATCGATTGAAGCAACTTCCTCCCAAAGCGAGTGTGAAGTGCTTCCTGTAAAATACGAGGAAGACACCAAAGACCAAAGGGCATATGTATTTGTTGATACGCTGTACACAAAAAAGAAGAAAAAGAGGTCCCTCCAAAAGATGGTGGGCAAGAAAGTAAGAATGGTTCCAATCATCATGTCATATATGGATAACACTTTATGCCTGCGCAAAGATGGCTAGTGTAGCGCAGAAGTTGGAGCGGTTGTCCTCATCCTTAGCTAGACCCTTGCCACCCGAGGTGATCATGTTGACCGAGGCCTTTGTCGAAAGACCAAACCAGTTGACGTTGGTCGAGTTGACAACTTCGTTCATGTGTTCTTGGCAGTTCTGGCCAACAACACAATCCTGCGCGTAATTTTGGAAGAACGAGTAGGTACCCGCGCCGTAGCTCCAGATGCTCTCGCTACCGTCAGTGACGCGAACGGCCCATGCAGCCTTGGCTTGGCTCATATCCGGATCAAAGAACTTGTCATTCTTAGTGAAGGGAACGGCAGCAGTGGGATTTGGCTGGTAGTAGGGAGTCTCGGTCTGGATGGCGCCGTAGAAGATGTCCTTTGCACCGGAGAACTGGTACTGCGACATTTGAGAGTGCTCAGAGGCGGTTCCGTACATCCAGACTGGACCTTGGGATTCAACAAGCATACCGCGACCATTGTAGATGTCGATCTGAGCGTGGTCGTCCTGGTCGAGCTCGTGATCGGCAGTCCAGAGCCAGACGTTTTCGAAGTAGCCGTTCGAGTCCTTGGTAATGTGCAGTTGCATGAAGGTACCAATGCACTCTGGGTTGGGCTGATGCTCGGCATCGGGGTTTTTCTTACAGTTGGAGGACTGGAGCTTGGTACCGGCGTAGCCACCGACACGGAAGTGAACATCCCAGAGACCGGCTGCACCATTCTCAGCGTTGATGTTCCACTCCATCAAGATACCACCGGGAGCGGGACCCTGGGTACCGATAATGAGATCAGAGGCCTCAAAAGTACCCTTGTCGCCGCTCTTGGCACCAATCTTGAAACCAGGCTTGGGGTCGTCCATGTTAGAGAAGAACTCGCCAGTGATGAGGAGAGTGCTGTAGACTTCACCAACAATCTTGACGTTCTTCTCGGCAGGGATGGTAACGGTCTTGGTGATGAGGTAGGTACCGTGGTCGACATGGAGGATCTCGCCTTCCTGAAGGCCATCAATAGCAGACTGGAGAGCGGCAGTATCATCGGTCACACCGTCACCCTTGGCACCCTTGGACTTGAGGCTGACAAACTTGGAGACATCCACATTTTCATACTGGGGCCTGCTGCGCTCGAACCAACCATTCTCGCCCTGAAGGCTCTTAGGCTTTGCAGGCGCACCGCTGATATCGCCTTGAACACGACCCTGGGTCGACCCAGCAGCAAGAGCGTTACCCTGAGCCCAGGCGTCGATCTTGCGGCCACCTTCAAGGATGGTGTTGCCAGTAGCACCAACAATAGCCTTCTCGGACCCACTGAAGTCGACATTGTCCAGGATGAGGGTACCACCAGTAGTGGGGATGCTGTTCTCAGTGAAAGAGGAGTTGATGCCAATGGGAGTATTGGTGAGCTTGCTGTCAAGCAGGAGAACGGAACCAACAGTCTGGTTGGAAGGGCTGTTGGCCATGTCGAGACCGACCTTGCAGTTGTTGATGAAGATGCTCTTGTAGGTGAAGACCCAGTTCCAGTTTTGGAAGATCGCGGTACCGCAGTCATTGAAAGTCATGTTGCGGATAGTGAATTGCTGGGAACCCATGAAAGCACCAATGGCACCACCGTTGAAGGTCAGGTCGGTCATGAAACCACCAGAGCCGTTGTCCTGGAAGATGCCCTTCTGGTCCTTGCCAGCGTCGCCCTTGGCCATCTCGAAAACAATGTTTTGCAGACTGGTGGCTTGAGAAACTTGCCAGTGGATACCAGCGGCGGCCTTTGTAGCAGAGATGTCGATAACAAAGTTACGGACCTGACGGTAGAAGTTGTTCTGGTTGGTGTACCAGTTGGCTCCATCGCCACCTGGGATATAGGGGTCGGCATCGATCAAGCCCATACCTTCGAAGTCGGCAGTGGCCTTCAAGACAGGCATGTTCAATGGGTCACCGATGAACTGGGTGTAGTAGTATTGAATGATGGGCTTGCTGATGATGTAGGTACCGGCAGGGAAGTAGATGAGAGCGGGGGTAGTGGTTGTGGAGTCGCAGCCCTCACCACAACGGTCGCCGTCAGCGATAATCTTGTTAATGATTTCGGTATCGTCAGTAACACCATCGCCCTTGGCTCCCAGCTCCTTGACGTTACGGAAGACTTGGTAGGATTGTGGGTTGGGGTTGAAAGCAGCTTGGCCTTGACGCTTGATACTCTGCATCCAGAAACCAGAACCACCAGCCGGTGGTGCTGGTGCTGGTGCTGGGACAGCTGGTGCTTGAGCAACAGGGACGGCAGAAGATGGAGTTGTGGAAAGGAGAACGCGCAGCGTCAAGAGAAACGCTCCAGCGCCGAAAGCCACCATGATGACAGTGCGTAGTGTGAGTTTTGGTGTTGTCAAGTGTGGTAGGACTGATCCGAAGGACTGGAAGAATGGTCGTCAGTTGACCTGCAAAAGACGATATGTTGTTTTTGTTGTATCGAGTGGGAAAGTGCACAAATGCGCAAGTGGTTGTGTCAAAGTAAAAGGTTGGCTAGCAACGAATGTAGAAGAAGGTAGTTGGGGATGTTATTGTGAGCGTGAATAAGAAAAGGCTCTCAACAACAGTAAAGAATGACTGTGAACAATAAGAAGTGAAGCAACACAATGAGTGCTGAAAGGGCGTGACAGCGAACCTGCGTGAAGGGGAGAGGCTCAGGGAGGGGGCACTGCAGCCTTGTATAAGTACGCGATGTGTTCGCGAGGGGACTTACAAAGGATTCGTGTGGCCAATCGCGTTTCTGGAGACGACTTGTTTCACGTTTGGAAAGAGGGGCGTGTGGTGTTCGCTGTCCTGGTCTTGCATCATTTTCCCCAGCCCTGAATAGATGTGTTATACGTTCTTGGACGCTGCCACGACAGCTATCTTTGATAGCCTCTTCATTATACCTCTGCGCGCCATCGCGCTCGTACAAAAGCTCATGGCTCTCTGGTATTCCATGATGAGGCCTTGTGGCCGCATCCGTAAGCCGCATGGCCGCCTCCTAGAGCTGTCCTCGGAACGCGTAGCCTGAACGTAGCCCAGTCCCGGTGGCGTAGATCCAAAATTACTTAGGGTGTGCACTAATCGAGAGGACGGCAATATTCCCGTGGAAAGCTCTCTCCGCGTGAAACAAGCAGGCGTTGTAGGCCAGTGAGTGGTGGAGGATGTTCTGAGGGTGAAAGGCGAGCGTTTGTCCCTGGATCGAAGACAGGGATGTGGTTGGCAGCGCCACTCCCGACGGTCGGAGGTGCGACGGCACTGAAACGCCAGGCCATCGACAGGCCCTCGTTGGCCGTTTTTGGAGATGAAGCCTTATGCCAGCGCTTCAACGCCGCATGCAAAGAAGGCGCCATTCGACGCTACGCTCCGGGAACAATCCCATGTGGATGCACCGATGTGCTGCTAATCGCCCATCCACGGCAAGGGCCCGCAGCAGGAGTCATGGGCCTGGGCAGCAATTCACCCGACCACGAGGCTGCTATTGCTGCTATTGCCGCTGCTGCTGCTGCTTGTGCATATACCTCCCACACAGTGAATTGGATATGGAAGAGACTGGTCATGTCGGTGACGAACGCTGTGCGCGACGTTGGATGAGCCTTGCGGATGCAAAACAAAGATCAAAGAAACACTCTCCGTCGCGGCTTTGCGCCATGCCCCACGAAAACACCACATGATGCAGGTACGCAGATTATCGCATCCCGTGGCATGCCAATCGCCGCCTGAGGCTCACACGAAACGGCCTCTTTGTTTCGCGCTGCCACTGGGCATGCTGCTTTTCTCATTTCAACCAAAGTGGAGCAGTGGGTCACAGGTATTGTTTGCATGAAACGCTCAAGTTTAGCCAGCTATTATCCGACGCCTATGCAGATCCCTTGAGCTTAGCAGAACCTTGATATACATCTTATCATGTCGCCTTCGATATATTGTACTCTGCTTCGCCAGGCGAGAATTATTCAAAGGCAAATAGGCGAGTCTGGATCGTGTGTACATGTCACCGTGCAGACAAGATTCAGGGCCAT